GAGAACAGGACAAGCAGCAGCAACATCTGCTGGTCAAAGCAGAGCAGGCAGAACACATTGTGACAAAATCCTCTCACTTGCCTGGATGATGTGTGTAGGAATAGGGGTGTTGTGTGGCTCTGCCGGTTAGGCCTCTGTGCTTGTGACTGAAATGGTGTTGGTTTGAATCCCGTGGTAGGGAAGAATAATCACCCTTGGGAACTTGAGCAAGGCTCCTGAAAAATGCTCCATGGAATAAATGTCTGACCCTGTGCTCTGAGCCCAAACTTCACCCTCACCTGTATAAGTGAGTATTGCCCTATTCAGGCAGGCTTAGTTTTACTTGGGGATGTTACTTAAATGACGCAATTACTGATGATGTAGATTTTTTTAATCCATTCCAAACCTGCCACGTCTGTAATTGTTATGAGCCTCCACCGTAACAATTCAGCAACAATTCTGTACTTCAGCGATAGCAGCCCTCTTTCACTAATAGTACTCCAGTCCCAACTGTCATCTCAGTAATAAGGTCACATCTATAAAGGCACACCTCATTTTCATAATTTGGAAAAAATATTCATATTTGGATATTATTGAATAAATACTGAGTTTTCCACATAAATGTCGGACAACCTACACTTACAACTTCTGTGACAAGGTTTTCAGTTGGTACAGAGCAGTACAACCAGTGTGTGAAATACGGGGGGGTCCGACACCCCCGATTAACCCATGAGACCCCCTGAAAGCCTCAAAAGCAAAATTTTAAGGAGGTCTCAAGATCGGTATTGCACTGCAATAGGGAGATGGGGACCCCCCTGAATATTGACGGGTATTTCGCACACTGAGTACAACATTACTGAGAACACCAATTTATAACCTCACAGTTATACAATACAGTTATGTTTGGGAGGCAAAAAGGCCAGTTCTGTTTTTGTGTTTGATGTATGTTAGACATGGGAACTGTAGGCCTTCTCTATTGCCAGGGTGATCTGATAAGTTGGTGACTTCCTCAGCAGGTCTGGTCTTTGTGCCTGTGATCAGAAGGTCATCGGTTCAAATCCTTTGGCCAGGAGAATAGCCACATTGCCCTTGGACCTTTGTGCAAGGCCCATGTCCCTGAGAAATGCCCCATGGGATAAATAGCTTACTTTGCACTCTGACCCCATTCGCCACTCTCACCTGTATGTGTGTGTGGGTCTTTAAAAAAGAGCAAGATGGAACAGAAGAAAATCCATTGTACTGTAGTTGCACAAATAAAGCTTTATTTCATAAAAGCCAGCAGTTCCAACTTAAAGCAGCCCTCACAGCCTCCTGCTGCACATTGCTGTAGACACCAAAGCGCTGATCTCTGCATGCAGGATCGTTTTCTTGAATGTAGTCAGAGAGGGTCAGGGTAAGCAGAGTGACAAAATGTGGTGACACTTACATACATACACCTCAAATTCAGCTACTGTTCTAGTCAGATAAGTAAGAGTCCTCATTACAAACACGATCAAACAGAAAATATTATAAAACACTGTTGAATATAAATGTGGAGAAACTGTGCCCATTTTAGCCGTAAAGAGTTTACAGGCTGGTAAAAATATATTATTTGAAGATATGTATCTCATAACTTTCATGCTAATATTTGCTTTGTATCAGACCCTCCTCATACACGTTATCTTTAGGATCCACTGACCCAACTAGTAAATGACACTGAGATATGAATTAATATTTTCAACTTACAGTGACCTTCCAATAGAAGTATTGTTACCATGTTGTGTAAGCTGAGGGTAAACAGGCTGCTGTATGCAGGGATACAGGGATACAGGATGCCTATAGTCTGCCACCTAGTGGTGCAGTTCCCCCTGTCTCTGCCCCTTGGACATGCTCTCTTTGCCTGTAATGAAAGAGCCATGGACATTCAGGTGATGATGTAAATGGATGATAAATATTATGACTAATAAATGCTGCGATGAGGTGAATTGATTGGCTGCTTTACTTACCTGTAGAATCTCTTCCTGAGGTGAACAGTGATGACAGCGGACACCATGATGATCAGACCC